AACAGAAACATCTATTTTTACCATTTATTTTTATTCATGAAAAAATTATTGTTAGATACTGCCTGAGAAGTAAAATCTTCTTTAACCTTTTTTTTTTTCAATACGATGAAAAGGCCAAATGCACTTGTCGTGATCTTAAGATTTCTCTGGTTTTGGTTATGTTTTCTGTGATAACCAAATAAAGCCACTGTATTTAGCAAAACCGCCATTACCTGAAGACTGTAAAAAAAATTGTGCAATGAAAGCTTGTTCGTGTCAAAAACTAAACATCACGTGTGTGGCATTATGCGGATGTTTAATTGAATGTTGCCAACATCAATTTCATGTAAAAACTAGTTAGATGTACAAACTATAATTCTATGTAAAAATTTTCTTAATAAATGAATATTACTATTAAATAATCATAGTGGAAAAGAATTAACAACCATAGAAAAAATTGAATACATATACAGGGATTTCATTTCAAAACTAGCCACCCAAAATAACTTTTAAAATATCTTTAAAACAAAAAACACGTGAATTTATATTTACGGGGGGACACATTTTACAAGTATCTGTAACCGTGCAGTTTCATCCCCTAAGCATTGGAGAATATCACTTCTAAAATTTTAAATAGAAAGGGGTATCATGTGATAGCTCTTCTTAAAGGTCTCTTTTTTTCCAATCTTTTGACACATTATTTTTTTAAATCGGATTAATTTTTCACCTAGAGAGTTATAACCTAGAAACCGGAAAAAATTAAAAATATTGAATTAAAATGCATGAGTATAAATACCGAGATAAACAAGTTAGCAAAAGGCCTTAAATGTTTTTTGCGTAAGATATTTTTGACCGTAAATTAAAACAATTTATTATTGGTAGATTATTGGTTTCGTTGTATACTGACAATTTAATTTTGACAATGGTTTATTCTTTACAAGAAAGAATTGAAATAGTCTTTATTTATGGTGAAGAACAACGCTGTGCACGCAGAACTGCTCGTGTTTTTAATCAGAGACATCCCGATAAAAATGTTGGGCATCAGTATATGTTGGATTTAGTTCATAAATTTCAAAAAACTGGAAGTGTGTGCAATAAAACTGTAAGGAATCGTAGAGTTTTAACTGAAGCTGCACAAGTTGAGATTTTAGGTCATTTTGCCATGGAACCTCAAACATCAATAACAAAAGTCTCCAGATTAACAAATATTTCCGTTGGCTCTGTGCATAAAACGTTGCGGCTAAATAAATTCTTTCCTTACAAAATACAGCTTTTACAACAGCTTTCTGAGGATGATTATGACAGAAGATTATAATTTTGCGAATTAATGACTCAAAGGGCAAATGAATTTTATTAAAAATATTTGTTTTACTGACGAGGCAGGTTTCTTTTTACATGGATTTGTCAATAAACATAATTGTAGGTACTGGGACAATACAAATCCACATGTTTTTCGGGAAGAGCACAGCCAATATCCTCATAAAATCAACGTATGGGCCGGAATTCATGGTAATAAAATTATTGGTCCTATTTTCATAGAGGAAAATTTAACTGGGGAATTGTATTTGAACATTAGAAAATCTGATAAATCCTCTTATAACCGAATCCTTAGAAAACCAAATATATCAAGATGTAAATTTGTTACTAGACGAAGAAAACCTATTTTTTCAACAGGACGGAGCACCTTCACATTATGCCATGCCTGTATGAAATTGGCTTAATGAGACATTTCCAGATAAATGGATCGGAAAAAGGGGCGCTATAGAATGGCCAGCGAGATCACCCGACCTAACTCCCCTTGACTTTTTTTATGGGGACATCTAAAAACTTAGACGTAGAATAGCGGAAGAGTGTAAGCGGATTACACCAGAGACGCTTCAAAAAGTGCGGGATGAATTCGAGCTGCAACTTTACCATTGCCTTGCCAACAATGGCGGTCATTTTGAACATCTTATTTAAGTACAATGTAATTCTTACGCAAATAAAATATTAATAATGTAAGTACAATGTAAATAATAACTATTTTAATTTAAAATGTTAAAATGGTATAACTTAAAAATTAATCCGATTTAAAAAAATAATGTGTCACAAGATTGGAAAAAAGAGACCTTTAAGAAGAGGTATCACATGATACCCCTTTCTATTTAAAATTTTAGAAGTGATATTCACCACCGCTTGGGGGATGAACCTGCACGGTTACAGATACTTGTAATATATGTCCCCCCGTAAATATAAATTAACGTGTTAGATATTTTAAAAGTTATTTTGGGTGGCTAGTTTTGAAATGAAATCCCTGTATATTGCGTACTCTGTTTTAAAATAAAAACCAGGTGAGTCAACTATGCTCATCGTAACAGGTAGAAATTTTCCTTGAATTACGGCAGGTATGTTTGTCTTCTGTTATCTTATTAGAAAAAAAGTGAGAAAAATTTATTTCTTAGACAGCTCTTGGCAATGATTTTTTTTGTGGATGGAACATTTCTATTAACTTCAATGAATAAAAAAGTTATCGAAAGTATCCAAAAAAGTAAAAAAAAAATCACATGATACAAAACTATTGATCGGCAAATATAACAAAGTGTCATGAAAAATGTTAATAATAATTTTTTTAAACTTATTACCGCTGAAAAACAGCAAAAAATTGATTTAGCGCGTCATCGGGCTTTCTCTTACCCATCTTATACGTTGAGTTGGAAGTGAGATAGAAGTACTTCTCTCTAAAAGTACACGCGCGTAGGAAGCATGTTGTTATATCGTAAAAAAAACATAACAACAAAATTTTGAAAATTTATTTAGGTTGTTTTGTTTATTATAGTTTGAATATTCAATAAAAAATTTAAAATTATAGCATTTTAAATTTTAAGGTATATTATTTAATTCAAAAAAATTAGAATTTTCGTTAATTTCGGATTTTAAAACATTCATAACAATTAAAGGGTTTAAGATACGATGAACTTTTTTATTCGAAATATCCTAAAGAATATAAAAAAATTAATTCATTGCAAAAAATGCATTTTTTCTGGCTTAATTAATTTTTCGTTGTTTAAACAATAACCTCAACAGATATCGAGTGTCATCTTACACTTTTATAATCAGGAAAGCCTTCCAGACATTTAAAAAAAATTACGAATTAAAACAATTTTGCAAACGAATGCGCCAGTATGCTCTGGTCTATTATACATCTTTCTTTACTAAGGTTTCGTCCTCTGTAGGAATCGGACACGGTAAATTCGCGGACATCTCTTAATTTTTTTGAATAATGGGACACCTGCTAAACCTACTAATAATGCATAAGACGTCGAATACTGAAAAAACTATAATTTTTTGGTCAGAATAAATTTAATATTTTTCTGTCTAATATTATTTTAACAAAATACTTTCACAGATCAATTTTTATTTTCAGATGCGCGTCTTAGACTACAGTTGGACATGACGTCATCGATTTTTTTCTCTTCATTTTTGAATTTCCGGTTAATCTAATACTTATAGTCCAAATTCATTTGTTTGTGAATTAGAGACAAATTTTATATCAGAAATTTTAAATCTAAAATTTTATTGAAAAGACTGGAATAAAAAATTTAAAATTTTTATTATTTTGAATAATTAAAAATAAAAGAAAATGATATTAATAAAAATTTTCCCATGTTTATTAGTTCAGTAGTTTCAATAAATTTTAAATTAAAAATTTCTGATATAACATTTATTTATATCTAATTCACAAACTAATTACATTGAAGTTACACACATTTTTTTTAATCAATTATTATTGGGGAATTCAAAATTAAAGAAAAACGTCATTACCCAACTAACAAAGTATCTTTATAATTTTTAGTTTACACGTCTATTATATTTTATTGATATTATGTTACTGTTTCTGGAATACTAAATTGTTGTACTAAAATTGCAGAAACTACTATTTTGTTTTCTGAAACTAAA